AAAGAGAGAGGGGTATTTTTAATGCTTTTCATTTTAATGAAGTTTGCTTTCCTTTCTTTACCCCTGCCTCCTCATTATTTGCCGGGTTTCTTAGGCAGCACAGCGAGCTGCTGTCTCACATATCCATCTAGACCTCTGTTCCTGGGGTAATTAAGGTTTGGAGTCACCTCAGGAGATAGCGTGGCTCCTCAAGCCAGCTGGCTTTTGGAAATCTGCATCAGTGTGGAGGGTAATATGTGTGGGAAACTGTGTTTGTGGGGCAATATGTGCACGTCTGGCGACGGTAGAGCCTCCGATTAAACGAGGGGAATTCGAGGGCAGTGCCTAATGCGAAGTGGGTGATGAAATGAAGAGCTATTTACAGGGTTCAACGACGGGCTGCAAGCCACAGTGCCAGAGTTTTAGGAGAAGAGCCTCATGTCCTCCTGAGTGGACCTGTCTGACTCCATTGGTATTGTTTGGGATGACAGAGACATAATTGTTTAAAGAAAGGGGATATTTTAATCTTTATAATGGTGCTGCAGACGGAATCACACTATATCTGCCAAGAGAGTCCTCTACCACTTATATTAATGCTATAGTCTGTTTTTAAGCAAATTACTAGGAACACATAGGTATAGAAATACTTTTTTTTTCTTTTCCCCCCAAATATCATGAGGATAAACAAAGAAATATACAAAAAAAATATACAAAGCAAAAAAAATAGAAAATGAAGGCTGATAATTTCAATAAATAACAAAATCTGTCTATAATTAAGGAAGCAGCACATCCCAGTTTGCTTCGTCACAACCACAACAACAGTTAATTGCTTTGTGCACGAGACAGGCTCTTCAAGTACTTGGGAAGTCGGTCTGACAGCACCGCATCCTTCTTCCAGCCTAAAGTGAAACCCCAGTTGTGGCTTTGCCTTCCAGATCACAGCCATCCTTCTGTCCCACTGTGGCGAGCGGGGCGAGTGCTGAACCCTGGTCAAGAGATGGAGCCAAGGGGGATCTGGCCAGTCAAAGAGTGGAGCCTGATTAACATTTGCATCCTATCTTCATCGTTTCCGTCGCAAGGAACTGCTGGCGGTGTAAATAACCAAAGCAAATGTCTTTGCAAGTGTTTGAATAACAACAGCACAACACAAGAGTGGCACACTGCAAGGATTCTTGAATACAAAGAGCACAGCCCTGTAGCCCCAAGGGAGATGCTTTGATTTATTTACAAACTGTTGGGCTCTGTGATAAGTTACAGCAGCAGCAGCAGCAGAGGAGTCAAGCGCTGGTGGTGCATGCTCGCGTTGTTGCCAAAAGGAAAGCGGTTCAAAAAAAAAAAAAAAAAAGAACCAGAGCTCTCATCTCCTGGCATCTCCTCCTGACAAGAGGCAGCTCATTTGTCCCAGACTATCTCTGCCACCACCATCACATGATCATCCTTCCATGGCGAGATTAAGGTGATGCCGCACACGCATCCGCTTTTTCAAAGGAGTGTGTGATTGTTTACATGTTTTGAAGCCATGCTCAGGTTTGAAGCCATGCTCAGGTTTGATGCCCGCGCCTCTGACAAGTCACAGTCACTACTACAAATGCTTCCCTGTGTAAACTGTCTGTAGAAAAATCTGCCCCTCTTTCAACTAGTCTTTTAGCTTCATAGCCTGTTGCTGCCTATTACATTACATTTTGACGTCAGTGATGATGTCTCATGGAGTACAATCCCCTTTCTTTTCACTTAGTATTTTCTGGGATTGAAAATCAGGCATCAGACCTACATTTTTACAGAAAATGTATTCCACCTGACCTTAATTACTCCTTGAAAGGTTAAGCTCATCACTGCGTATTAATTTCAGCCAGTCGTTTCAAGATCGTCCATAGAGCTTATGTAACAGTCTATGTCGGATGAGTTATTTTTGTCATTTTTTTGTTGTAGCTGCTACGTCAACATACTTGACAAGTTCCTTCGTACACTGACTGATGTCTTGTTGTGGCCAATTTCTGTGATCATGTCACCACATTCCTCTGCGATATGAAGTGGAGCCTTCTTATATTGAAGCCATGTTGGAGCTTAAAGAGTCATGACTCTGATATTCAGTTACAAAATACTGATGGAAGAAACTGCTGTAAAAGACATTTTAGTATTTATCAGAAAATATAGCACAATGATTGACTTTTATGACCTTTAATATATATGTTTGAGTCCATATTTGAACAATTTAATATACAGATCTAACAGACTTGTGTCACATTTGAATATTCACTATTGCTTGGATGCTGAGGAACTTTGTCACTCCTAGTCGTGCCCTCTCATTAAACCAATTCAGTTCCAATTCTTGAAATCAACACACTTATGATTGTGATAATTCTTCCCCTCCTGACAACAACAAGACAGTATCTGACCGTCTGACACGAAACCTCCCAGCCTTAAGCTACCAACCACAGAGTGACGTTCCCTGCCTCCACGGCCACGAGCCTCTTATTTTCCCGATTTTCCAGATAGCTGCTTCAGCCTGTCCAAAAACGAAATGAGGGAGAGAGAGAGAGGGAGAGACAGAGAGAGAGGGAGTGTACGAGAGTATTTGTGACAGGAGGGGACGCAGGGGGAGAGGTGACATCTTTACTCTCATTATGTTTGCTGAGTCCTCACTAGATGGCAGTGTAGTGTAGGAATATCTATTGACAAGTTTCACCAGATATGACATTGGAAACTTTCCTGGTCCACCCTCCCCCATGTGTGTGCGTGTGTGTGCGTGCGTGCGTGTGTGTGCAGTCACATCCTGGGGACAGAAACACAAAAAAAGTTCTCATATGTTTTAGGTTAGGGATCAGCCTTAAATTGGGATTATGATTGTGATTAGGTTTAGGTTCAGTTTTATTTTTGGGTTTAGATAAGGTTAAGTTTAAGGTTAGGTTAAGGCTAGGATAAGGTTTATGGGCTGGTTTAGGTTAAGGCTGGATTAAGGTTATAAATAGGTTAAGGTTGGGTTTACGTTCAGGTTAGGTTTAGGTTTATGTTAGGGTTAGGCAAGTAGTAACCATCAGTCCCTCACCATTTGGGAGTTTATTTTACTAACGTGCCGTCATCAGACCGTGACCTTTGACCTCACTGGGTGTGCTCTCTGACTGGGGCCGTCCTGTGGGTGTGGTTCGGCCATTACGGAAAGCGCAGGAAATTAATGTTTTATCAGCCTGCGCAGAGACAACAACAGTGTAGTGGGTGGGAAAAGAGAAACGTCTAATTTTAACTCATCGGCTGCTGCCAAGGAAAATAAAATCATCAGTGGAGCGCTTCCTGCTGGTTTCCCTTTCAAAACATCTGGATTTTCTTTAAATTGATAATATCTATGTTTGTCGAGAGCATAAATATTTTAGCCTTGATGAGATAGGATGAGCCAGCACAAGAAGTTAACGTCTTTCCTGTATTGTTTATAAGACAAACTACACACAGACCCACCTATCAGAGGCATGCACGGTCTGCTGTGTCTCATATATATATGGCGTTTTATTACTCGTGCATGTGTTGCTTCACCCAGACAAGCTGTTAACCCACTGCCTACAGCACAGAATTTCCTTTTAATTCTCTGCAGCAATGCAACACACTCTTCAGAAGCCTGATGAATTCAGGTGGCGCAGTGAAGGAGGGAGAGCAGCACATCCCACTCATTCACTGTAACAGAGTACGTGGGAGGAGGTGACAGCAGGCGAGCTTTCACTGTGTGCAATGTTCTCCTCGACAGCAAATTTTAGAACATGAGGCACGCTCAATATGCAGAGAAAAAATATGCCTGCTCTGAGATTACTGCAGTTTCCCTCCATGTATGGTTAGATACTGATTCCTGCTTCATAAAACATTCAATTCTGACTTCACAAATTTTAGTTTTGCAGTGCTTTGAATCACAGGCAGTATATTAAATATGTTGGGGTGGAATCTTGTGCCTCCCATTTTTTTTCTTTATTTCCCAGTCCAGTCCAGCCTCATCTGAGAGCCTGGTCTGACACGTTTCCCTGCCTTCCTGTGAGAATAGGCAGCCACTGTCACAGAGGAACCGAGGGAGTTCAGGAGATCAGAGGAGGCAGAGCAGCAGTCGCCTTCTCTTCTGGGAAACCAGATGAACCTCTTCAAAGTGATAATGTAAACAGCTCTGCGTGCAGCAACTGGTGGAACTGAGGGAGTTTGGGGCAAAACGTGAGGAATTCTCCGGCAGGATAAGTGTGAAAGTGTAAGTTATAGTCTTTTTTTTTTAAGATTTGTATCTGCAGGCATTCATCTGAGCTGTGATCAAAGAATATATATTTGATGTGTGAGCTTTGAAGTTTTTGCAGAGTGCAAGGTTATTTTCAATGAAGGAAGTGTTATGATCTCTGAGGATGGAATTTCTTAGCCACAAGTTGTGATACATTCTTTTTTTTCCTTTCCTTGTGTATAGATGTATATTGTGAAAAATCAAGACACTGTGCACATGCATTTGTTGAAGTAAGACTTGATTGCGTCTGTTTTTCGTAGCATTTAACTTCGCAGCAGATCCTCATTGTTAAACTGGCCCGTCTGCAGCTGCACTGTCAACTCCAGCTGCAGAGGCTTCAAACAGCTGCTTTCAATTACTGTCGCCCTCTGGAAGCATTACTCCGAACAAGCATTTGTTGACTTTAGATGTGGGGCTGGGGCAGCGCAGGATTTCATAATATGTGTAGCCTGGTGATGTGAGTTATAGACGGCCGTAAAAACCTAAAAGGCGGGTTGTGACCTAAACCCTTTCACCCGTGCAATGGATTGTTCCTGTTCCAGTTTGCACTGTTTTTAATTTTATGGATTCTGTGTTAGATTGAGTTTTACGATGTCGTCGCCTCCTCACTAAATGAGTTTTATTAAAATAATTAACGTTATTCTTTTACTGCGCTGAATTTGGATGTTTCCCAGTTCGCAGTGAAGGTCAAGTTTAAGGAAATACATGTGCGGTTTATAGGAAATTTGCAGCTTTACCAAAGTGAAAATCACATCTTCATTTTCCCACAGTCTCGGTTTGAACGTGATAACAAGGAATGTGTTACAGCCAGACCGCTTCCTCAGACTCAGTTAAAGAGAACCACACACTAACCACCAGATCTCCAACATGGAGGCCGGCCAAAGACAACCACAGTAGGGAATACAGCCAGCTTCTCCTCTTAGGTAAACAAAGTTTGTCTCTTTCTGTCGTTTTCACCACTTCTGCGTTCTTGTGTGAGTGATTACATGATTGTGTGTGTTTGCCAGTGCAGTTCTACACACGAATTTGAAGGAGCTGATCCAGCTGTAACAATGTAAATTGTTTTAGGTTTAAAATGTGCGTTGTTGCCACCACCCACCCTGCTGCAGGAGCGGAGCAGGACCATTTTTAGCAAATTGTGGGGAGATATATTCCGTGTGCAGCCATCAAAATAGTGGCATTGTTCTGCAGCAAAAATTAAAAACTTCCTTGCAAAAGCTTGCGTCCTTGCAAATTTAAAATATGTTCCTGGAGAACAACGAGTTCATGTTTCAGTCTGGGAAATGCCGTTCCATTCCTCTGTGCTCAGTGACTTTGTTTTGGAAATAGAGCTTTCCCTGGAATTTGGCAGTGTGGAGGTTTACATAATGTACTGATCAGTCATTTAAATTGTCCAAACATCCATCAAGTTAGACATTAAGACAGCAGTCTAAATTACTTCAACCTAATTTAACTGTCTGCATGATAGAGTTCCTGGAAATTAACACATAACTGTCACAAAGATAACTGAGCATTTGAGAACATTTACTCTGTGGATGTTGAGGGTTTTTGCAGGCATGTAAACTGTGGTCTACTCTACTACGACCCATGATCACATGGGGCTGACAATTCACGTTAGTGCTATCATTTCTAATATGATGATAAGTATTTATAATTTTTTTCCATGTACTGGTCTAGTTCTAAAAAAAACTTTTTTGTGCCCTGTGTATGTAGATATTCCCCTCTTATCTGTAATAGTGGACATTATCTATCTATCCCTATCCCCCTCCTCCTAATTTTGCCTGAGGCAAGAGCCAGCATAAGCAATGGTTACCACAGCAACCATGCTGATACAGTCCTGTGCAAAGTTTTCATATTTTAATATTTGACACTGAATGTTTGCAGTTTCTAAATGTTAAAATATTCTTAGAGGACATCTGCAAAAAAGAACCCCTTGAACAAGCTGTATATTTTTTGTGCCTGACATGTAGTTCTTGAGAATTCAGGCTGAATTTAGAAAAGTGGAAAAAGAAAAGTGTTTCTTTTCATTTCACAGAGTTGTATTGCTTTAAGAGAGGATTTCATCTGATTTAACAAGGAGACATTAAATATAGTAACATCCACTGAAGCGTGGATTGATGTCGTCTGGCATTAGTAAAAGTCATGTGATAGATTGGCCTGAAATTATATAAATTATAATGACCTCGAAAGAAAAGAAAGAACTCAACTATGGTAAAATGCTGGTTGAAGTAAAAACGTGAAAAGTGAATAACATTAAACGAAGTAAAAAGGAACAAGTTCTAGCTTTAAGACTCAAATTTGCATGTTTACCATACAGTGTATATAAAGATGGCCGACACGACTCAACCACAGTAGCGTTCAGGGGGTGGAGCTGATACATGCACTGGATCAATCATGTCTTAATTTGCAATTACGATGTTTCCCCAGTTTTTATATTATCATATAACTAATTTGATCATTTGAGCATTTAACTTTTGAGTTTGGTCTTTCTCAAGTTGCACACAGCCAGATTTGTACTTTTAATGATAAGACTATAGCCCGGAGGAATGACCATTCAATGTCCTCATCGCTATCTCTATACACCCTCGCTGTCTGTAACTACGTCATGTTCCTGCCAAAACTTTTCCCTGTTCAGAGAAACCAGATGAAAACGCACCAGCGACTCTTTCTCATTACAACATGCTCCGTCAGTGCCTGTCATAGTTCCAGACTCCTTCATCTCAAAGCTCAACCACAACATGACACCACTCATCATTCCCATGCTGAGGTCTCTGTCACCAGTTTTACGACGGTTCTCACACGGGATCTTCATCTCACATGACACATTCACAGCTCTCACCTAAACCTCTCAGATGGAGGAGCTGTGACTTTTTGCTTTGCCATAGTTTCTTGAGTTCGCTCTGCAGAGAAACAACAGTTGTTCCGTCTGATGAGTTTTGCAGTTTCCCGTCCACGACTCAGTTGGTGGTTTTCAATCAGCTTTTCCCAGCCTTCAGTGTTTATATTAAATTATTACCTACTTATGTTGAATGATGCGAGGCACTGTTGTGGAAAACAGGAGGATTTCAAAGCTGTAATTTCAACACGGCAGGATTTCATAAGAACTGATAAAATAAACTAGAATGAGGGCAGATCTTATCCAAAAACTTTGAGTTGCTGCATTATTATTTGGTTTTTAATTATGCTATTTCCTGGATTTGACATTATAAAGTGCCAAATTCTATATTTTAATGTATTCGTTGATTTATCTGGGAAGCATGTGTGTGTGTCTGCATTTTGAGATTATTTCCAGAGGAGCGGGTAAGTTTGCGACAAAACAAAGGTGTGCTTTTATCTGCGGACATCAGTATCCTCTGTAGTCATATTTATGAATGAGATGTCAACTAATGACATCTGACATTTGGTCAATGCCTCCGAGGTAGACTGCCCTCGCTGAAAAGTTCAAACAGTCAGCAAGAATGTGGAGGCTGGTGGGTGGGAGGCATGGTGCGTCTGTGTGTGTGAGTGTGTGTGTGTGCGCAGACATTTAAGCTTGTTTCCGTGGGAACTCTGCCAAAAACAGGGAGGCAGGGTTTCAGAGTTTGAGGGGGTCACACTGCTCTGGAGTGAGAAGGTTCTGCTTTTCATTACATCAACCCATATGTCCACATTTCTGCTCTGCCTCCCAGACTCCACTCTGTTTCCTGGAATTGTTGTGTCAGTCTGTGATCCAATCCCTGCCTCTCCTCTGTCTCTTTCCCCTAATATCTAGATATCTGTGTGAGCGTGTCTGATTGCGTGTGATTAAAGGGGTAATAACTCTATAGCAGGAGCAAGGCGCTGTGAAAATGAGAGTTTCCAGAGTTGCATTCGCCCCCTAATATGGAGTGCATTTGAATAATGCTAAGATCCTCTTTGGAGAGGCTGACCAGCAAGGCAGAAAAGAGTTGAAAGAGAAAAGAGATGCCTGCTCTATTTAGTAGGATAAAACTGCACAGCTTCATATTCACTTTCATCTTGATCTCACTTCCCTTTAACAGTAAGAGAACCAATTTAACTCACTTGAAGAAAAGCAGTGTGCAAGTGTTTTTGAAACGTGGCAGCATGAGGCTCCATTAGCCGGTGGTATTACCACTATATTATCATTAAGTGAACATATGCGCAGCATGGTCTGAAAAAGGTAGAGCCAACATTGAGCGACGGTTATTATACTTTTAAAAGTGAGGAGACTGTGGATAAATAATCCAAAGTAAGTATGGTACACTTAAACATTACAATATGCAGTGATGTAAAGGTTTGCTACATGTGGGAATAAATGTGATGTGACTACAAGAATTCTTAATTAGAATAATGTCTCCTCCTCGACAGAACATCTGGATTTCATTACTTCATATGTGCAAACATCTTATATTTTGGAAAATGCATTTTTCTGGTGGAACTGCTCACTTGGTTTGGCTTCGTTGTAGCTTTGATGAAAATATGTTTTCACCACTGCACTTTTGTTTGTTGGCTGGTTTGTATGATAGTTTGTTGACTAGTTGTTAAGCAGGATTACACAAAAACTACGGGACGGATTACCATAAAATTTGGTGGGGGTGTGTGGCATGGGTCAGGAAAGAGCCCATTGAATTTTGGTGAGGATCCAGGATTTTACCTATTTTTTTCTTGAACATTGTGAGATTGTTTTTCCACATTTTCATTGATGTCTCAGAGAATGGTTTGTGGATTTTGATGAAAACAATCGGGCATATTTAGGCGACTGGTATTAATGTGTTTCCAATTTGGTGCAGATTCAAATAAAAATCGTGAATTAGTGAATTTAAATGTGGTTTCATGAGGGGACTGTTGGGCCTCGGGGGAAGTATATGCTCTACTGAGTGCCATTCTAGTTAGCAGATTGGTTTGTATTTGTTTGTCAGCAAAAGATTACCACAAAACTTGGTAGAAGGATGAAGCATGGGCCACGAAAGATTTTCTTTTTCTCAAACTTTGCAAGTTTTTTCACATTTTTGTTGATTCTTCAGAATGATTCATGGATCTTGATGAAAACAATCAGGCAGGTTCAAAATAAAAAATCCAGATCTAGTGAATTTAAATGTGCTTTCAGAAGGGGACTGTTGGGCGTCCTGGTTGTTAATGTGTTATTTATGAAATGAAGCTGCAGGAGTTCATGAATCACAGGCACAGAGACAGAGAGAAGAAGATTAATCAAATCCTCTCTAAAAAGTGTAGTAGTCCTGTAACACAGCCATGCATCTTCATTGTCAGACTGTGGCAAAACCTGGAACAAGTTCCACAAGTGGAAACAAACTCCCACAATAGTAAGGTTGCCAAAATCCACACGTAGGAAAGCTGCAGTGTGATTGTAGAGGGTGGGGGTGAGGCCCTCACCTTTCTGAACTGTTCCTGAGTGGCTGCTTCTTTCTCCCGCTGAATATCTAAAGCCTGGTGGTGGGTGGATAAGTCACATGGTCACTTTTCCTTTTTTCCCACACAAACACACCCACATCCTCCTCCATCCAGGCTCTTCTCACTCCTCAACTCTCCACAGCTCCAGCCTGGCTCTGCTGCGTCTGGAGCTGTATCTGCTCCAAGTTGCAAGCTTTTGTCTTTCTCCTGTTTGTTTGTTTGTTTGCTGTTGTTTTGTTTTTACACTTTACGCACAATGCATCCGATTCGGAAATAGCAGCGGTCTGCTTCACGTCGGTTCATCCACGTTTCTGCAGCCTCCGGTCGGGGAAAGTCGAGCTCACATCGTCCCGGGGAGACACAAGGACTTTGTTTCAGGTACATTTCCGAACTTGCTCCAACAGTTTTTTACGCGCGGGGCTTTGTGTTTTTGCGAAGCTCCTGCAGGTCTCCGCCACTCATTCACTACTATTACTACATCCTCATCCTGTTAGTTAAAGTGCTGTAGGGGGTTGAAAGTTGTAATTAGATGCCTCGAGTGTTAGAGGCAGCAATGGAAGAGCTGCTTCTGTTAGATGAGGTGAAACTTTGATTTCCAGGCCCCTGCCTGTGTCTCCTGAATCACCCCCAACCCCCACATCCAGGTAACACTGGAGCTCCAGAGGCGCTAACTGCTGCTCAAACTGGCCCATTTCTACACGAGGCCTACCTTTGTTTACTGCTGACAGTGTTTTATAGCCTCTGGCCGAGTTGTAGAAGTGGGGGAACTGTTGTTGCTTTCATCTCAGTCTCTATAAACCATGGGCTGTGGAGAGAAGGAGAGAGTCACCCCCTCTAAAAAAGTGAGAGAATAGAGAAAGAAGTGTTTGTGGAGAGCTAACATGTCCACGTTAGTAGTTTTGTTATCAAGCTGCACTCCTGTTAAATATCTTTCCCAATGTTCACAGCTGCCATAACAAAGTCAACCGCTCTCAGAGCAGCATCACTCATACAACAATGTCTCCACTCTTTTGTCTCCCTGTAATTACATGAGTCACAGCTGCATCCACGCTGTATCTGCTCTCGCTGAAACAACACTCATTCGATGCCCTGACAGGCTGATTGTGAAGCGTGCTGCGATTTTTGTCTTTTCGTGCAGATTTCAGACGAAGAGCGAGGAGGAGGAGGAGGCCGCAAGGTGAGGACATGAGTGCAGTGGAGGTGAGGCAGTCGCCGGGGTCCCTGACCCTGCCCCTGTCCAGCGGCGACCACAAGGAGCGCTACCTGGACCACCTGGACGAGAGGACCATGTCGCCGGACCTGAGGCAGGACTTCAACATGATGGAGCAGAAGAAGAGGGTCACGCAGATCCTGCAGAGTCCAGTATGTAGCCCACAGCTCCATATAAGTTTTCCACCTACACACTAGCTTTCACAGTGTGTGAGTAATAAGCAGCCGGAGATATGCGATGCTGTGATTTTCCCTCAAGACAGGCTGAGATGCTCTGTTTTCTCCTGTTGAATTTGAAGACTGTTCTTAGATCTGTGTAAATATTGCCTCTCTTGCCTCTCTATCTAATGTAGAGTGCAGACAGAGCGTTGATGAAATGTGCTTCTGTTACAGAGAAAGTCCTGTGTAATGTGTTTATAAATAGTGACACGTCAGTTTTAATTTATGTTATTATCTGTTTTTAGTATTGTAACTACAGCCCGACAGACTTGGAGTCTTTGGGGACCAATACCAACATTAAGCCGTTTTCAGACATGAACTCTGGAAAATGCCTCTAAAACTGGGTCCCAACATTTTCACACAGCATGACACACGTTCACAACAACAGGAAAATGTAGGGAACATTTAGATATTTCCAGCACATTAATATCGACATCGGCCAAAAGCCCTCAGATCTCGTTGTCTTTCCAAGCTGACGTCAGCTGGTTCTACATGTATGGCACCTCTTTTTTTATCCTGAGATATTCATATTCTTCCAGTTTGAGGTCTGTCGTATGTTAGAAACGTCATCGACACACCCACTCACTCGCTGTGAATTTCCACAACATTTTGCTGCTGTTTTCTCACTTGGGCTTACTCTGACGTTTTATGGACATTTTACTGGGGGGGGGGGGTTACAGGCGTGTTCTGGAGCAACTAACTCTGACGCACCCCCAGAAAAATTCAGGAAAATGTCTGAAAGATACTGATATATCTACCGATGTATATTTAAAAAAAAGAAACGTGATTGAGGCTTGATATTTTACAATTCAACCATAAACTTAATTGTAAATATTTCTAAATGAAAAATACTAATTAAAAATCCATAATAATACAGTACATTCTAATATATAATATGCTTTTTTATTTAAAAAGTGTAGATATAAGTACACATCTTTTTTGCATTGTTTATTCTGTTAACTAGTTTTTATGGTGATTTAGTTATTTCTTAATTCCACTTAATATACTGAACAACATCATATTTGTATTGTAGATGGTTTAAACAGGAAATTATTATAGTATAACATTCGTTGGTTTTGCAATATAATTCAACAGTACTACAAAGTGATATCTCCAAAATGATGAAACTGTTTCACCTCTGTGATAGTAGGATTTATTGCAAGCATCTGTGTCAGTCCTAGCTTATTAATGCACCTAAAAACTCACAGCCTAGTGTATTTAATAGCCAATATTATCTCAGTGTAATATAAACCACGAGGATGATAAACAGATTATTGCAGATAGATTGAATACGAGGAGGTGCAATAAACATGCCAACGAAGTGCATGGAAATAAGACGAGCCCACACTCATCTGTGGTTGCGTAACAGCCCCAACAAGTCCACCTCATCTCATCACCATGGGAACTGTGGTGGGATGAAGCAGAATGCTGGAGCTTAGCTGCAGCACACACAGGAAAGTAGCTTTCTGTTTCAAGATTCACAGGCTGCACTTAATAGTTCAAATTGATAGTGAGGTTGAAAGCTTCTGGTTCTAATGAAAAACAACTTTCTCACACCCAAACACACACCCAAACACACACACACACACAGAGGTATCAGTGGTCTTTTCGTGATTTGTGTACTGTAGTAATAAGGAGCGTCTGGAAACGCGCTGTGCCCCAACTCATCCTGAGGAAGTGTCGGAACAAGGTCAAAGTGACATTGTGTAAATATGAGTTTGTTAGGTTATCAAATTTTTACAACAGGGTTTGTTCTCCTTTCCTGTCACCTCACCTCACCCTAAAAGAAAAAAACTATTTTCTTTTTGTCTTCAGGTGTTTAAGGATGAGTTGGAAGGCCTGATCCAGGACCAGATGACGAAAGGCAACCACCCCACAGGTCTCCTGGCTCTGAGACAAATTGCCGACCTCGTCATGGCCAGCACCTTGGGGGGGGCGGGCCCTTTGACTTCGCCCATGAGTGAGTGGCAGTTTGTTTCAATGTGTGTGTGGACGTCTCCATCGATCTCCCTTTGGGCCTGATTGTCATTCAGCGTGTATACCCTCTCTGTGTGCATTATGCAGACTGAATATCTTCATTGTCGCAGGGTGAATTCTCAGGATTCTTGTGACACTGAACGACCCTGAAACAGTGGCAGAGCCCGAAAGATGTTGACAGCATTCCTCACAGTCAGCGTTTTATTAAGTTGCCCTTACGGCCAGTCTTGGTCGTGATTCAGAGCAGTTTGCAGGGTTAATTATTTGAACATAATCTCTATGCCTCATTTTACTGAAAGAATCCTGAATCTGAAAAGATCAATTATGAAAACGTCTGGCAATCAGAAATGTAAATATTTGGGAAATGTCACAGTAACATTAAAGGCTGTGCAGTTGCCAAGGCAGCCCTGCTTCTTTTAAAAAGCTTAAGTGGCTGTAAAAAGATAGGGTCCTGTATCATTAAATGTCCTTATATGGCGTTATAGTCCAAAATATCCTTCAGTTTCAAGTTCAGAGTTCTGAGAAAGTCCTTTTTTAAACTTCAGCTGCAGAGTCTCACATTTCAAACCATGAAAACTTACGTTAAAACGCCTGAAGAATAACTACTGATGGTCCTGTCTTGCGGTAGGCTATGGGATGGTGAGTCCCGTCAACGACTTGTACGGCATCGAGTCTCCCACGTTTGCTAAAGGGGAGAAACTGGGTCGCTGCAGGCTGGCCAGCCTCTACAGGCTTGTTGACCTCTTCAGCTGGGCTCGTTTTACAAGCTCCTACATTACCGTGAGTACAACTCCACAATCGCGCTCCAGTGCACACCTGCTTATGTATGCAGCACTGTGGATCTTAACCTGAGCCTTGCCGTCTCCCAGAAGGCTTAAAGGGGAACACCTCTCTATTTTCAGGAATTATATCATATTATTTATGGTTTGGGAGATTAAAATAAAATCTCAGAATATTAATTCATCCACAATGGGAGGAATTCACAATGAGATATGTGGCAAACACCTGAGATGATGAAGATGTGAAGCAGCTCAGATTTTCCCCTGAAGACAAAGTTTCATCATCCACACCCACATATTTGGGGTTTTCAGAGGGAGGAGAGACTTCCTGTGTGGGAGCAGAGTTTCCTTTACCCTTGAATCTGTGAAATGTGTCTGCACTGAATAACCCAATCAAACTTTTTGAAGTTTGAAGATTTGGTCTCCCACAGCGTCTCCGCTTTGTAACAAGATTCTCGACCCTGCAAAGAATGACTTAATGGGGGTGACACTCCTACAGAAGCATCAAGAGTCAGAAATAAATCGTCTGTATATCTCAGTCCCAGATCCTCCTGTAGGAGCTTAACAGTGAGGGTTATCAGCAGTAACATAGCAGGTGTTTTATAATGGTGAAATGTTATTTGTGTTATTTGAATATCGACATGTTTCGGGCTCTGGTTTGTTTTTGTTTTTCTCAGGTGCGTGTCAGTACAGAACAGGACCATGTTCTTATTAGTCCACGGGGTCTGTCTTTCGCTGAGGTGACGGCAGCAAATTTGGTAAGCACAATGGCTGTGTGTGTGTCATTGTCATGATTCAATTATGAGTCACCATGCATTGTGTCAGGGGTTGTCATGAGGTCCTATCTCAAGCAGTGTGGATGTAAATCCACTGAACGCTGAAATCTGAAAACGTTAGAGAGGAGGAGGACGATGTGGAAGTGCAGTGACCCATTTTCAGAACCTAATGGGAGTCTAATGTCATTTACTTTCCTTTGCGTCATTAAATGTAAATACCCTTGAAAGGTAAACTAATGTGGCCAATAAAGCGAGAAGAGTAGTAATGAGTCAGATGTAAACAAAGCCGGTTCCAAAATGAAGGGACACAACACGTTTTATCAATGAATTATCGTAAGCTATGTCGTATGTTTTGACTTCACCTTTGGGAGATGTTGTGTCATTGATCATCACATACAGTCTACAGTCCACGTCAGATCTGCTAACATGGAGGAAGCTGGGTTTAGAATTAGACTGCAGCCAGCCACTAGGGGTTGATGGAGAGGATTTGGCTTCACTTTTGGGAGCTGTCATGTCCATCCATCTTTATTTAGAGTCTAAACTGTCAACGAAGCTTCATCTGTTCGTCTCCCTCCCACATGCAGGTGAAAGTGAACATAATCGGTGAAGTGGTGGACCAGGGTTCTACCGATCTGGCGATTGACCATTTTGGATTTGCGCCTCATGCTGCCATTTACTCCATGCGACCGGACGTGAGATGCATCATCCACATACACTCTCCTGCTACAGCTGCTGTAAGTTCACTACGGGCACATTTTAAATGAGCTCCATCGTAATCAAAGTTTAAAGTCACGGCTAAATGCCTATTTTGCACCAGAGGAGAGGGGCTGAATTAAAAGCAGCCCCCTGCCTCTAGTTATTTTAGATGCAGATGCCCTTTAACACGCTCTTACTATTTCCTTTGAAGCTCGGCTGTAAAATGCACAGCATGTCATGAACGTTGCTGTGTTTAAGTTTTATTTGTGCCCGACAGCAAGAAAGAGAGAAAAAAAACTGCCTCTATTTAGACGTCGGTGCATCACAGACTCTTGTTGCCTTTATCCCACGCTAACAGGTGTCCTCGATGAAATGTGGAATCCTGCCCATTTCCCAGGAGGCTTTGCTTCTGGGAGACGTGAGCTGCTTTGGTTACCATGGCAGCCTGGATAATAAAGAGGAGAAGGTGGAGTTTCAGAAAGCTCTGGGCCCGACTGCCAAGGTACTGTCAAACCAAGGGACTCCATTAGTGACACACTCACTTTCACATGAGATAAAGCTGGCTGTCAACAACTGGATGGAAAAAAATTGTAGCCAGCTATTTTTTCATACTGTTCGCACCAGTAGGATTTGATATTAGGCCATTTATACCTGATGGTTTGTAAATGTAAATAAATAAATTATTATTACTAACCACCTTTTTTAACCATAAACATTTTCTTTTAAAATATGAGTGTGAACACAAATGTGTCCGGGGACACATATGAAGGATGTCCTCTGACCTGCTGCAATTTCATCATGAACCACGGATCTTTAGACTTGTGTGTTTCCCAGATGATGATTTATTAGTGGCCACAGCAACAATATCATTGGTGATCGCCGCATATTGATTTTCTATGTTTTAATTTACTGTTTGACTCAATTGAGTCAAATCTCACTTCATCTTTGAGCTGAGCACAATTCCTTGATTTACTCAGTCTCTCCTCGTCCCACTCTCTTCCCCTCTGTAACACACACACTGCACATCTTAATGGTTTCTTGTGTTCTACAGGTGATGATCCTGAGGAACCACGGGCTGCTTGCTTTGGGAGAAACAGTAGAAGAAGCTTTTCACTACGTGTACCACTCACAGCAAGCCTGTGAAATCCAGGTATGATGGAAAGCTGGAGTTATATATTTTTGACACTGCCTCCGCCTGGTAATGAAGTGTAACTGCACCATTCTGGTCAAAACTATTTGTAAATTTAAACAGTACTGATACGATACCGATACACAGTGTTACACATTATCATGTTAGTTGCATGAATATATATGAATCACTGATACATTTCACCAGATGTTTTTTTGTCTTTCTTACAAATGAGTCAGTGTTACTGCAGAGGCTAAAATGAAATCAGAACTGAAGTCAAACATCCAGTATGTTTGAACAAAGTCATAGAGCAGTGTTCACAGTCAGAGCCAGGTGGAGTCCTGCAGTGTTTCTCAGACTCTCCAGCTGGGCGCTTTTTTTTCCCATCATCCCGATGTGTCTTGACTGCATTTGTTTTTCTATTGTTTTTGACACATTGACAGCTCTGTTGGCAAATAATTACAATTCTATTTGAAATGAAAACCCTGCTATCTTTGACAAGAAAGTATTTAAAATGCAGAGATGAACGTCCTCTGTCTGAGTAAGTTAGCAAATGCATTGATGAAATTGTCAGGGGCTTTGCTATGAATAATAATTTGGCTCCAAAAGTAAGAATCGTACAATAACTTTGTAATCGTGTTCTTTTTAGGTGAGTGCGTTGGGGTGTTCCGGCGGCGTGGACAACCTTGTGCTGCTGGACCGGGACAAGTTCAAACCCCTGACCCAGAGAGTGGCCGCTGCCGGGGTTGTGATGGACAGTGAGGTCAAGTGGAAAGTGGGCGAGGCCGAGTTTGAGTCCCTCATGAGGATGCTGGACAACCTGGTGAGTGAACCTTCACCCGTGCCTTTTACCCATGATGCTCTGGGTTTCCCATCTCAGGCGCTTCCTCAGGAAGTGTCTGATTAGAGAACACAATGAAATTGTATATTTTTGGTAATTTAATCTGAAAATGATTTGTGTAATCGAATCGTATTGTTTTATGGTAGCTGCTGAACATTTTTCACTTCAATTACAGAATAATGTAATTATCATGAGAACCTGCTAAGCCCACTGGGATGTTTGTCAGTGGTTAACAAGCTGTCATCTGCTCCTGCTACTCCCTCACTATTTCTGTGCTGTGCTGCAGTTAAAACCCTGTCATTCTAAACCGCACTGCTAATGACCAGAAGCTGACGTGTTCCGTGGACGCACAAGATGTCAGCCTGTGTCTGTTTGAGTGAGCTACTCTCTAACAACTGTGGCTGGAGTGGGCTGCAGCTGTGTTAACTCTGTGTGATCCCAGCCTGCCCACTCTTTCAATCATAGCTTCCAGATGGCGAGGCATGCTGTGGCCAGTTAGAGCAACGCAGACCTCACAATCACTCACTGTAAGGACTCCAGTGGAGTCAGAGTAGGAAAAAAATCTGGTGTTCTCTCACACGCTGTTGAATTTAGTGCAGGGTGGACAGAATATGCCATTACACTCGCTGCAACAGGAGGTCTGGTCTTACAAGCCAGAGGAGTTTGCCAGTTTTGATGAAAGATCAAGTTGAAATTTATCCCAACGGTGAAATTCAAAAAAGACAACATGAGTCTTGGCTGCAGTAAAAGTCACATCTAATAATACAGGAGGGAGCAGATGATTTAGAGATGGACCTGCACGAACACACACTCACATTTAACAGCAACAAAAATGAGAAAGATGTGGTGATTTACTTTCATAAACGAAACAAGGAGAGATAACCCTTCAAAAAACACAAACAATAACTGTCACTGCCAACAGCAACTAGCAAGTACATGAAAATGGATCTCATAACGGCTGAAATAGGCAGTGGTGAATGATGGATAACACATTATCAAATTATGGATAACACATTATCAAAGGCCAAATCAGTGCAAATAACGTTCCTGGTAGCTTTGCTGCTTTTGAGTGATTGTGTATGCAGCATGTGTGTTTATTCACGGGTGACGATTCGGATCACGGAACATATGTTAACGAATATGAGTGGGTCAGGATTTGACTTGGAGATCATTTCGGGTAATAGGTCGGTATTCTGCATTCTGTGTTTTGCATCTGAAAGGTTCTGATCAGGTGCTGACTACTCTTAAAAAGAAAAGTCAAGCCTATAAATAATATTTTAATTCACTAGATCCAGATTTGTATTCAGATCTACAACAAATTTCACACACTCATAGATATAATTCCCCTTAATATGCCAGATTCATCAAGATCAACAGATTAATTAAAATGTTAGAAAACAACTGTCTCGCAATGTTAAAGAAAGGGAAAAAAGCCAGATCCCCATTAAATTGTAGTTCTAGTGACAATCTGTCTTGTAGGTTTTGTGTTATCCTGTTAACTAGCAGACAAACAAGCAGATGTAAACACAGCCTCTAAATTGCAGCTGTGACTGTACAACATTGTAACGACCAAAGGTTTTTTTTTCCTGTGGCAAACTTGTCATATTGCCTGTGAGAAAACGCCGATTTTCATTTTGCTTGCAGTGGTGTACTGCCAGCTTCAAACCTCACTGTGCACACACTGCAAGTTCCCATCAGTAGATTTCCAGTCGTCTCTCCAGGTCTTTGATGTATTCTTCACAACTCACAACAAACCCCTTCAAACCAAAGTTTCATCTTCTCCCTCTGAAACTGGGCATGTCTGCAGAAATGCTGCTTGTATATACAGCGTTGTTTAAATATTAAACAGCATTGTGTAAGTGGATCTTATTTGGTGCATGCATTTGAATTGTGTGTCTTACATAGTTGATATTTTCTATTCTGTGGATTATAAGAGACGACTGAAGAACAGTGCACAATAAAACAGCTTCATCTGTGACTGATAACTCCTCAGGTATGTTAAGGTTCCATCTCTGTGTGACCTTCCAGGGATACAGAACAGGCCACTCTTACAAAAACCCCATAGTCCGTGAAAAGCCCCGCTCCAAGAACGACGTGGAGATCCCTGCCACAGTGTCTGCTGTGTCCCCGGAGGACAGCGAGCTGGGTCTGCGCAGCCCCTTCAAGTTTATGGTGCAGAAACAGCAGAGAGAACGGACTCGTTGGCTCAACTCACCAAACAGCTACTTGAGAGTCAGTGTTCCTGAACAGTCACCCAGCGGGGACGTCAGCCCCAGGACTAAAACCATGGTGCGTTGAACTTCATGTCAAACCGTAACATGAAATTTAATAATCTGATCCTCCTCTGTTTTGGTCCCTGAAGGACACTGAGAGCATGGGAGCTGCCGTTTCTTTAGATTGCCCTGCCCTCTTGTGGCAAGTTTGATAAATGCATTTATTATTGTATTTCTCACAAACCACTTTTTTTATTCCCTCAGTGGATGAAGTCTTCACAGCCAGGCAACAGCATGGGCACCCCGATAAAGATTGAGGACCCCAACCAGTTTGTCCCACTCAACACTAATCCCACAGAGGTTCTGGATAAGAGGAACCGGGTCAGTTTAAAATATCATCAGACTCACAAAGACTTACAAACTTAATTCTATTAATTCGTGTCGCACCTACTACATCATAATTGCGGATGGTACATAAACATTGCACACTTTGTGAAGTACAGAACAGAAATTGGTATGAGATTTGTAGGGCTGCATCCAATGTTTATTTTCATTATTTATTACTCTGACCTTAATTTGCTTGATTAATCAATGAATTGCTTTTGTAGAAAATAACTGAAAACTGTGAAAATTGACAATGTTGCCTGCCAAGATAAAAGAGAATCCAAATAATGTGTTTGTTGTCAGAAATGACAAAGCAAAGCATCATGTCCTCACATTTAAGAAGCTGGAATCACTGAATGTTTAGCGTTTCTACTTGACTAAAACAACTTTATGATTATTTAAATTTTGCCAATTCATTTTTCGTTGATTAACTACAAAAATGTCATCTCGACAGACAAAAAACCCTGTAGCATAGAAGCTCCACTTCCATACATGGATCAGATAATCATGATCCACTGAAGAGCCGTACTGTCATCTGCAGAGTGTTTCTATAACTACGCATGACGCACATCATTTTGACAAGTGTTGAATGCTGTTAAGTATCAAATGCAAATTTTAAATCATCTTGAACCAGTTTTAATATGATTGTACAAATTTTCCTAATATTCCAGATAAAAGAACAGCACAGAGGGGACCAGATGACCTCCGGACCAAAGTCTCAGTTACTATCAGGCATCGTGGTGGACACAATCCCAGGACCAGTGAGTATATCTTGTAAAAAATGGCAGAACAACTGTGCATTGGTGCTGAATGTGTCATTGTGTTGAGTCTCTCAGTTGCTTAAGCACAACACATTTGTCCTGCAAAATGCGATGACTCATTCAGCCACCATAGCAACGTGTCCTTTTAAAACAAGGAAAAAACACAGCGCCCAACCAAGGACCAAAAAGAAGAATCAGAGCTATTTGCTACTTGAGTTTACAGAAACACATTAAATCCCAAGTGTTTCAACTACAAAGATTTCTGAAAAAAACTGATTTAAAGTCTCTTTTATATACTTCAAGACAGACAAGATTTCCAATTCTATAATGAAGAATAGTCAGTGTGACACTGGATAAAACCTCTGCAGTGTGAATTGTCCTTGGGAAAAGATAATGAGCCCCCCTATGACGATGAATGGTTTGTGATATAAGAGCGCTGCGTATAGAATCTTGTGAATGGGTGAATGTGACTTTTGCTGTAAAACGCCTTGAGTGATCGATGAGACTGGAAGAGTGCTACAGCCACACACTGCATGTAGATCCTGCTGCTGTTGAAATCAGTGCAATTGATTTTGATCTGTTAAACAATTAAACTCAAGATAACTGGACCAATGCAGCGGATTTATGTATGAAAGCCACAAGAAATGCATTTGGTTTTGTTAAACTAGAGATAAATATAGAACCAGTTTTCATTGTTCCATCTGAGAAATGACTTTTTACTGCAAATAGACAATAACAATACTGTGACATCAGGTGACCACAATGTCTTTTTCATGCCCTACCAGGCCTTCATCATTGAGGATGAGGAGCACACCCGCTCTCTGCCCCCCAACCCCTTCAGTGATCTGTCAGAGAAGGTGCTGGAGGAGTACAAGAACATGGTGGAGAGAAAGCAGCAAGGACAAGAAGGTACTCATCCCTTTTCTTTACACTCGACAGAGGTCAAACTGTTTCTTCTCCACTACAAAGCCTATCAAGGCACCGCTGCTCTGTAGAGACACAGAAAACCTCCGCTCGAGTTAATCCTGTTTGGATTTACACTGGTTCATATCTCAATTAATCCCAAATAGATTAGGACTGTATGATGTTTGGAAGTTAATCCTTCGGGGTCACGGAGATCATGAAAGAAATTAAGATGCAAAAACAAAGGTGAACTCAGGGAGTGGGAGTGAAATTTGACTTCAGAAAATCAAACCAGGGCAACAGGGAGACATTTACATTTAGAGTGTATGACCCATTAAATGCAAATCACTGGAGAATTATGACATCGAATTTAACTTGTTTGACTTTTTGATAAACATATATTAGACACTATTGAGTTGTTGTTTCATGATCTGATTTGTATATATATATATATATATTTGTAATTGGGTATATTGCTAATATTTCAAGTAGAGCCTGACCGACTGACCTTTAAATGTTATATAGCAAATATAGCAAATATATAAATCAAAGAAATGTAGTTGAGTTTTGATATTTATCAGTTCAATCATAAACTTTATTATAAATGACTACAAATAATAAGAAAACACAAATACAACCGAATATATAGATATGTAAAACTTAAACATAAATGCACAAGTTGTCTGGATTGTTACCTCCACTTTTTTACCTACGCAAGATTATGGATGCAGGATTTTTTTTTTCACTTTTTTAACCATTGCCAGGGCAATGTTATTCAACATTTTCCCTGATTTATCAATGACAAAAATTCATGAGCAATCTGGTGTAGATCCAAATAAAAATCTGGATCTGGTGAACTTTCATGTGGTTTTGAAGGGGGACTGCTGGGCCTTGGGGGAGGAATGCACTGTACTGAGTGTCCTGTTAGTTGAATCCGTAAAACAAATGTTTTCAAATGGGCAAATATAAACATGGATACCAACACCGTCTGTGAGAGGCTCAGGCCAACTGACTGGCTCTTATCTCCAACTTCTGCTATATTGCTTTAAGTTTTTGGTACTTGTTCATCAGCATAAAAACCTGTGCCCTGGCTGGTAATTAGTCCAACTTGAGTACTCAGTTCGCGCCTGGAGCAAATGATGGAAACTATATTCTCAGAAACAAGAAACTTCCTCCAAAAATTCCATCAGGACAAAAATGTCAGAAAAAATCAGTCCTGATTTCACTCTTCAGTGGGTCGTGAAGTCGGCTCAGTGATGGTGACAGATGAGCTGCAACGACACGGCTCTTAAAACTACTCATGTCTTGGTTATGAAGGAATTGGACTGAGCCCAGTGTACTTACACAGATAGACATACAATTAAGAACAGACTACAAGAAACTAGCAAAATAAACAAAACTACAATCTGCAAATAGACTTTTTTTTACTGTGACAATTGTGAGTCAGTCTTGGAACACATCAGCTAATAGAGATGAATGAACCTGCTCAGCTCGGTTTGATTTGCCAGGCGAGCAGCATAACTCCCTGGTCTGCTTCAGGCAGAAATATCTCAACTATGTGATGAAATGCCATGAAATCTGTGGCCTAGAGGAAGACTCCTCCTGAGTGTGGTCTGCTGACCTCCTGATCCACTCACATTTCCTCTAATTTCACCTTGAGGTTTTGTATTAAATGTTTTGACAACTAT